CCCAGATGCCTCCGCGACCGCGCGCCCGAGGGAGGACCGCGGGAGATGGTGGAAGGCGGCGGGTGCGCCCAGCGAGACGGGGAAAGTTTGGGAAATGGTGATTTGGTGGAAGAGTGCCTCTCAGCCCCAGAGTCGGATCTCAAGTGAGCTTCGCCGTGCATCAGCGCCCAAATCATCTGAGGCGCTGGTTAGAAACGCAGGCTCTCAGGGCTGGGTCCCAGACCTGATGAATGAGACTCTCCCCGGTGGAGCCTGGCATCTGCATTTTTACCCAGCGTCTGGAGTGATTCCAGTGCATGCTCTGAGACCTGACCTGCTAGGGCAGCACCGGGGTAGTGGTGTTTGGTGCGTGCCAGGAAACTATGCAAGCTTGCGTGTTGTGTGCACGTCCTTTTATGGAGAGGGCCTGTTGCCTCAATTGGGCTCTCTAGGGGTCTGGGCCGGGCAGGTGTGAAGAACTCCTGTCTTGTTCTCACTCTCACACCGCTGGAGATGGGTCCTTGCGGGGAGGGGGGTGGTTTTGGTCAACAGAGCAGAGGCAAGCCTGCCAGGAGGCTCAACTGTACACGCCTGCTGGCCAGCCTTTCTCCCTGGCCACCTCTGCCAGGTCCAGCCTGTAAGGGACCACACCCCTGAGATCTACTGGTTCTCGGAAAGCCAACCAGGACCCTGTCAGAGAGAAGGCTAAGGCAAACGGGGGCTTCCCCGTCACGCACTACAAGTTTGTTCTGGTGGGCCGGGCGGCTGCCCTGTTCTCAGGGCAGGGCTGCAGCAGGGACAGCAGTTGTGCAAGCTTGCCTGCCACCCAGGCCGGGTGGGGCTGCTTGAGGGTATAAGGACACATGGGCTATCAGACCAAAGCTCTGGATCCCAAAATCTGAGCATCAGGCAAAGTCCTCAGCTTCTTGAGTTCTTCTTCTGTCACGTTGGGATAATAACACTGTCAAGAACTGGGAAAGATTTGGGAGGCAGAGGTGAGAGGATTGCCTGAGCCCAGGTGTTCGAGACTAACCTGGGCAACTTGGTGAGACTTCATCTGTACAATAAATCAAAAAAAATTAGCGGGATGTGGTGGCGTGCGTCTGTAGTTCCAGCTACTTGGAAGGTGAGGTGGAAGGATCGCTTGAGTCCAGCAGGTCGAGACTGCGGTGGCTGTGACTATGCCACACTGCACTCAAGCCTGGGCTTCAGAGTGAGACTCCGACTCAAAAAAAAAAAAAAAAAAAGAATTGTAGGGACCACGGCATTGGGATTTTGCAGCAAGAGAAAGAGATTGGGTCCATCTCCAAATATATCATGGTCAAGTGGGAATTTATTGCTGGAGGAGGGTGTAGTGGATAGAAAATTACTAAGAGGAAGCATCAGGAGTAAGGGGGATTCTGGCTAAACTGATGTAACTGAATTCTTGCCAAAGACAGGCCAGGGTGACCAGATATTACCTGAGGGTGGCAGAGGAGGAGGAGCCTGATCAGATATCCAGGGTGATCAGATATTCAGGGTGAGCAGTTCTTGCTTAAATGACTTAACAGGGCTCTTTGCTAAAACGATTTATAAGAAAGTGCATAGATGAACCTACGGGAAAGTTCAGAAGCCTGGCTGAAGTTTGGCCAAGCAAAAAATCTTTCTTAATATATAAACTCCAAACAGAGAACAGGTGTTCTGCAAATGAAAGTTCCTTGCCTCTCTGTAATCACAGGGTCTTCCCATAGGTGTCTTCCCCATCATCCCTGAATACTCTGAAGATGAGACCTGGCGCCTCCTCTGAAGACTTTCTCTTCCCTTTGAACACGGCGCTCCCAAATGTCCATTTCTGCTGGCAGAGAGCACTCAGTCTTCCTACAAGCTGGCTTCACAGAGCTTAGACGGCACTTTCCAAGCTTCTCTGAACCCTTTGTGTGCAAAACACACCTGCTGGCATCTCTAAAAAACCCAGCTTGGAAAATATTTCTGTGTCTCTCATCTCTGGCCTGCAGGACCACCAGGCAAGGTGGCCACCAAGGAAACCCATTGACCAAACCTCTTTGTAGGGAAAGTGGGCTCCATCCACTTGGAGACAGACCCCACAACCTGAGTTAGCCTGTTGGCCTGCTTGAGGATATATGGTTGGGGCAAATGCTATCTCAGTGGGACAGGTCCACGCCAGTCCCTCACCAGGGATCTGAATGTCAGCCCTCTCCTCTTCTTCAGATACTTGATTCCATTCTCCTCCTCTTGCTCTTAAAATTTTTTCCCCTCAACTCTCCCCTCTTTTCTCTTCAGTATGTGATCTACTCAGACCTCTTCCATCTATTTGAAAAGTTTCATTTGCATCAACCTGTGTGGTCACGAAGACCTCACCTCTCACCTTCCTTTTCAGCTAAGGTTTTTTAGAAATACCTTATATTTATTGTCACTCCTTATTTACCTCCATTCATTCCTCACCTACTTCAGTTTGGCTTCTGGCCACATCATGTCATTGAAATACCTCTTGCCAGTGACCTAGTTGCTAAATTCAGTGGCCACTTTCAGTCTTCATCTTACTTGACTTTTAAACAGAATCGGATCCTGTTGCCTACTGTTTTGATTGAAACTCTACTCCCTTGGCTTGTAAGGAGCTACTCTCATGTAGGTTTCCTTCTCAAGTTCCTCTGGGAGTGCCTTTTCCTACCCCCATCCTTTACTTGTTGCTCTTATCCAGGGTGCATCCCCAGGTCTCTTGCTGGGCAATATTATTTATAATCATGGCTTTACCTGCCATGCACACACTGATGACTCCAAGCCTCTGTGGTTTATAAGCTAATAAATTTTTTTTTTTTTTTAGTTGGAGTCTCACTCTGTCGCCCGGACTGGAGTACAGTGGCCGCTCCCGGCCACCGCAGCCTCGCCTGCTGGGCTCCAGTGATCCTTCCGCCTCAGCCTTCCGAGTAGCTGGAATTACAGGCATGCGCTAGCATGCCCGGCTGATTTTTTGATTTATTGTAGAGATGAGGTCTCGCTGCCCAGGTGGGTCTCGAACCCAAGGGCTCAGGCAATCCACTCACCTCAGCCTCCCAAAGGCGTGGGATTACAGGCTGAGCCACCGAGGCCGGCTTTAAGCTAATAAATTAACTGTCACCAGTTCATAGATGCTGGCAAAAGACATAAGACCTGGGGTCAGAAGCATAGGACTTCATTACTCAGGACCCAGCAAGAAGCATGAGCATCAGCATATTTGCATCAGTTCCCCTTGCCTCCAAGTCCCACAGGGGCAACGTGATTGGCCCAGATGGATGCTCCACATGTAGCTGGCTTGCATCATAGCGGGAGGAACACCGAGCTTGGGGAATCTACTGCTTGTATAGGAAGCAATGAGCAAGCCTGCTCTTCATCTTGGAGGGAGTCAGTACCCCTTCCCTCAAGGTGGCTCACTATGACCATAGCACTAAGTGGCCCAGGTAGAAAGTGATCATGTTATGGTCCGAGTAAGGCTCAGTTGCTCCCCTTAATACCAGTAAATCAAAGGGGCAGGGAACTGGTAGAAAGAAGTTTATTTCTGAGTTCAAATCCAGGGATCAGAGCCAGATTCAGATTCAAGGTCTTTCTAAAATGGTTCTACTCCCCCTCCAGGCTTTTACTGTTCACTTTTATTTTTTCTCTATTTATTTATATTTAATAAATAAATGGCACACTCACGGCCATCCCAGCATCGACTTGCTGGGCTCTGGCGATCCTTCCAAGTAGCCGGAACTACAGGTGTGTGTTACCATGCTTGGCTAATGTTTGGTTTATTGTAAAGACAAGGTCTCGCCAAGTTGCCCGGGCTGGTCCCGGACCCACAATCTCAGGCAATCCACTTGCCTTGACCTCCCAAAGTGCTGGGATTACAGGCTGAGCCACTGAGCCTGGCCTGCTCGACTTTTGTAAGTCCAGAGTTGTGAGAACCCACACATTAGTCACGTGACCGGCAGAGCATTGTATAGAACTTGAATTTCAGCTGCATTTATCCATAGTGACATTTTTCCGTCCAGACTTCCTGGTGCCAGGTATCAGAGATATCTCATAGCTTTTATCAGTAGGACCTGGCAGAAGCGTTAATCAAGCTTGCCATAGAGTAAAGGGAGTTTACAAGGTCTAAGACATCATGCATTACACAAAAGTTATACAAATCACAAAACTTATGATTACATTGATACAAAGTTATACAAATTACAAGGCTTACAATTACATTGATACTATATTACTCAAACTTATAACCCCTCAAAAAAAAGGGAGTAAATGGAGATTTGCATTATTCAGTTGATTGGGCGTAGACGATAAGGAAGTCAAGGGGCCAGGCTCAGTAGCTCAGCCTGTAATCCCAGC